CTTAACGTCTGTAGTTCTCTTAACATCTGTAGTTCTCTTAACATCTGTAGTTCTCTTAACATCTGTAGTTCTCTTCACATCTGTAGTTCTCTTCACATCTGTAGTTCTCTTCACGTCTGTAGTTCTCTTCACGTCTGTAGTTCTCTTCACGTCTGTAGTTCTCTTAACATCTGTAGTTCTCTTAACATCTGTAGTTCTCTTCACGTCTGTAGTTCCCTTCACGTCTGTAGTTCTCTTCACATCTGTAGTTCTCTTCACATCTGTAGCTGCTAGTTATCTAAACTTTAGGCCTCAGGTACTGAAAATCACAGGTTAGTGTTTAGTTTAGGCTTCATGAGCCCCAGAACACTTTAGCAGTTTTAAACAAGTTTTTGACCTGTTAAAAAAATAAAAGCTTTTCATTTTTTGCAAGGCTTTTTATCCCAGAGCTTCAAATTAAAATCATCTTGCCCTGAGTTATATCATGAGATCTCACTGGACGCAGTGGGGATGACTCTCAGCTACCACCACGCCGAATTTTAGCTCAGTATCTGTAAAGCTGCTGATTCGTGGCCTATTTTTCTGCTTGTCAAGTCGGCTGTGTCCGCCATCTTTAATCAGGCTCTAAATGTTAATTAGCTGTGCACGTTCGTCGTGTGATTTGTGTCTGAAAGTTTTGTTAAACTCGATCCGAACGGAGCTGAGCTCAGCGTGAGCGTTGGGGGTGACTCTCAACTACCACCACACCAAATCTGAACTCCGTTTTAGTAAAATTGATCGAGTTATAGCTGTTTTTGTGTTTGATAGGATCAATCAGTTGTGGCGGCCATATTGAATTGGATTAAACCTTAAAAAGCTGTTGATGCACGTCTGATGATTCTATGAACGTTTCATTAAAATCTAGTGGTTTGTGAGATGTTTTGCTAACAGACACTTCCTCCCACCTTTTATCCTTTCTCCGTTGAGTGATGTTGATACCCTCAGACAGACGGCTTCGGCTGTCCCTCAGACAGACGGCTTCGGCTGTGCGCTCCACACAGTTTGTTGGAGCGCTGAGGAGGAACCGTCCTGATCGAGAGGTTTCGTGTTGTTGAAACACGCCGAGGAGCCCGAGGGCCCGACGCCGTGATCACCACCCACCTCCACCAGAGCTGAAGGGGGAAGCAGCGTAAACAAACGTTCCCTCTGTTAAACACGAACACCTGAAGCCAGAACTGAGCCAGAGAATTTATGATTGTCTGCTGTGTTAGCAAAATATCCCATGAACCGCTGGATGGATTTCAATGGAAGTCAACAGTGCACGCACATCTGTGGCTGACTAACTCTTTGAGTCAGTCCAATTCAAGATGGCTGCCACAGCTGGTGTGTAAACACAATGGCTCTAACTCAGTCAGCTTTATAGCTATTGAGCTAAAACGTGGTGTGGTAGTAGCTGAGAGTCCTCCCCAGCACACACTACAGGCGCTGACATGTTGAAGTCATCTCTAAAGTTTCACACATTATTTTTCCTGCTTTGCAAACTGAAGATGAAGTTGTGTAAGTGAGCAGCTCCGCCGCTGTTGACTCGTCGCAACGCTGAGCAAACACCGCGGTTATAAAAACCACAGGGCATGCTGGGTAAAGTGACACCTGGACGACTTCCTGTTGGGTTTTTCTTTTAATTTCCCTCGTGTTTTCTGTTTCACTTCTGTTTGTGTGTTCCCAGCTGGATCTTTGATGGTGTAACAATCTGAAGGTTAGACAGAAGACTCACCAAACTAGCCCAGAGTGCAGTTTTTGAGCTGTACTTCCTGTTCCGTGACCTTTGGACCATTTTCCCTCTCTCGGTCGCTACCTGTTTCCATGAACCTGTTTGGATTTTATTTGCTCCTCTGTGAGGGTTATTTATTTACTTCAACCAGTATTTGTTGCTTATTAATCCGTTTGTGGTAATCTGTGAATATGAGGCTTCAAAAAGGTCAAAAGGAGTTAATATTTCTTAGATTGAAGAGACCGAAGAGCCTTTTTAACCAAAACAACAAGAGTTGAGTTCACAAGTCAGAATTTATGGATTTTCTCAATTAAATTATACATACAGGCTCAGATTTATACATGCGTTTATCTGAGGGGGCTCAACACAGGAGCCCCCCAGGGCTGTGTGCTAAGCCTCCTGCTCTATGCCCTATACACACACAACTGCTCAACACAGCAACACCATAGTCAAATTGGCAGATGACACTACGGGGGGTGTTGTCCAGTGGGGGTCGATGAGCCCATCTACAGGGACGAGATGGAACAACTGACCGCGTGGTGCAGGAGAACCATCTATTCCTCAAGAACTCGTTTTATTTTTTCCCAAAATTGCTTTGTACTCGG